ACACATCTCAATGCACTAACACAATATCAATATTGTACCACTCAACAATACCACAAACAGCCTCCAATAGGGCCATACAGTTGCATCAACCCCTCTCTAAAACAGCTGAACATTAGAAACTTCACAAAGGATTTATTATCTCTGCCAAGGAGGTTATGTTTCTCTTGCCATTTGTTTGTTTAAACTCACTGAAAACCTTGCTTACAGTATCGCGATATATTGCACTATATTGAATCGTTATCCCTGTATCGTGATACATAATGTATCGTCAGCTTCTTGCCAATACTCAACCCTAACTGTAAAACTGCCAGCCAGCCAGTCAGTGGCCCAACAAACACAATCACAAACACACACACCCACACACACCATCTCTAGTTTCCTGCTCCACTCCCGATGCTGTTTAATGTGCAAATGTCTCTGCAGGCACTGACACAGCAAAACAGACTGCACTATGGACTACTACACAGCAGTGCTGCATTACACTATAACCACACAGATCAGCTTCAAACACTGTTGGTCGGTGCTATTCACTCACATGTGAAATGGTGTTTCACATTCACATACAGACACTTGTTTTCAATCCAATTTAAGGTAATGGACATGTGAATTATGTGAAAACAACATTCACATGTGTGGCGTTGGTTGTTTCTTGCATTAAACCAATGGCTTTGTAGCTGTAAATGTTAAATCTCAAACGTCTGAGCTTTCTTGAACACACCATTGATGAAAAGTGTCATAACACTCTGTATTCACAACTGCTTTAACGTGCTAGGATAGTGCAACAAAATAAAAGAGACTAAATGAGAAACTGAGGCCAGGAGTGTCCCTCTGTAGCAGAACCGCTCTGTTGCTCCTTCACACCCCCTCTGTCTGTCTCACCCCTGGGACGAGGAGGAATTTCCTGAGAGAAGGAGGGATGACTTTTCCATACACTTGGCGAGGGAGAGACACAGAAAGACAGACTGAGAGGGAGAAGAAAACAACATCAGATGGTGACCTGGGTTGACCTCTCGTAGCCACCAGTGAGAATGTTCTGACGAGCAGCTCCAGAGCAGCTGATACAGATGTAAACAGTGCATTGATGTGATGTTTACAAGAGGAGTGCAGCGCTGCCAGAGGAAGCACACCGGACCCACATGGTCTCTTCATGCTAAGCTCGCAGGCCGGCCTGGTGCCTGGAAAATGCAGATGTACAATTCCCACAACAGTAAGTGTCCCTGAGCAAGACGCTGAGCATAGTTGTGGACTATCCAAACTCATTCTTCATATCACTCTGACTGTGACTGTATTACATCGCCAATATGTTAGGTGCAAGATGGACATCTTGCTCTGTAGGGGATTCTATAGGACAGCATGAATTCACTTCATGACAGTCTGTCTCTTACACTTTGATGTTTCCAGTGAAAAGTGGACGTCGTGGAAACACTTGATTTTTGAGTGTGCAGTTGATTTTTCCCCACAGACAGGAAATGGAGGAACTGCTCACAGCTGCAAAACATTGCAAAAAAATGTAGATGCTGTTATAACAGCTTGAGGAAAATCTCCGAAAACAAAAAGTAACGAGCATTTTGTTTGTTTGTGAAGCTTAAATTCCGGTGACATTCCAGAGTCACAGTTTGATTGACGTTGGTTAGCTCAAGTCTTATAGCATTTCCTGTTTGTGCAAAACAGGAAACAGATTATTTTTACACTATTCCAGAAAAAACAGTACGCTATACAAAAAAGGTACACATAGAGACTGACTGATATATCGGTCGACCGATATCGGCCTATAGACCATACCGGTATCTGTGTATATGTTATGTCATATCGGTGTGAAATCAGTCCACAATACACATTTTCATTCCAGCTGGGTAATGGCCTACATATCAGTCGGGCTCAAACATAGTAAAAGCAGTTAGTATGTAATATAATAGGGCTTTGTATTGGTAAGAACCTGCCGATACGATACATATTACAATACAAGAGTTCTGATTCTATATATTGCGATACCGTAAGCCAGGCAATATATGGATTTTTAATTTAAAATAAATCTGAATTTAAAAAGACTGTCATAGTACAAAGAACACACTACCATGTGAATCTTTTTTTTTCATGCAACCAGAACTGTGGGATCTGCAATTTGTATTCATCACAGTCACTGTAACATCCAACATCATAGCCCTCAGTTAACAACACTGCTATCTAGCTGTTTAAACACAAAAATCCATACAGTGTTTTGAGAGTCAATACAACATCAGAAAATAAAATATTGCAATACAATATTTTTCAATATTTTCTAACACCCCTAGTACAGAACGTATGCACAACAAATGCATATCCACAGACAACTGAACAGAAATCTATTGGTTTTGCAATAACTTGTGTTCTTCTGCAAAAGAGCTGGAGATTTTGAGGCTGGTGCTGCCAAAAGATCAGAGTGATTAAAAATTCAAAAATCAGTTTCATATTGTATCTGGATTTCCCTGTGGATTCACCTCCCCACTGGTGACCACCAACTGCCCGAATGGCCTCAGTGTGAAGAAAAGAAAGCCTACTAGGGTTGTGGGAACATATTGACATTTGCTGGTTGGAAGATTTTAACATTGCCAAACTCTACCACCTGCTACAACCAGAGTACAGTCAACAGAACATCCAAAAGATAATGTCACACTGCTTGACTGGCGTTAAATCATTGGGAAGTACGGAGCAGAAACACCATGGGAGGAGACTAACCAACAGTGAAGGATACTGAATTAGAAAACCAGGACCCTGCGGGTCTCAGATGTGGAGCTCAGTCTGACTGGCTGGTCGGATACAGTCAGAGCAGCCTTTAGTTGAAGTAGGGCAGCAGGGATTTTTATACTCCAGTTAACCCTCAACACTACCGGGAGATACTGAATTCTGCCCCACTTTGCTGCACGCAAGTGTGTTACAGAGGTGGGACGTCTCCAGCCTGTCCCAACGATTCCACTGCAGCTCTGACGGGCTGGTTTCAGACAGTGTCCCACCACTAGTGAATCTAAGAGTATTGTTCAAATAAGGTATCAAACAATTAAAGGAACATTGTTTGAAAATTGCAGTTTTGTTTAAAATGACCATATAGTTCAGTGTGATTGACAGCAATGTGATTATTCCATGTGCTCCTGCATATTAGGACAAAGGGCTGCAGCGATGAGTCGATTAGTTGTCAACAACTAAATTAATTCATTTCTAATTCCAGCTTCTTCAATGTGAATATTTTCTGGTTTCTTAAGTCATTACCTGAGTATCTTTGGGCTGTGGGCAAAACAAGACATTTGAGGACTTCACTTTGACCTTCACCTTCGGCAAACACTGATAAGCATTTTTCTCCATTTTCTGACATTTTATGGACCAAACAACCAATCAATGAATCGAGAAGGTGATCAACAGATTATTCTACAGAATAGAATAGAATAAGCGTTAGTTGCAGCCGTAGTATTACCAGTGCATGAGTAGGAAAAACCCCCACAAGTTCAGTTTTTTTAAAGGTGAAAGTGAAGTCGAAGCCTCTGAGTTTTCTTTGGAAAAAAGGCAGGGAAACATGGCCACTGCCCACTTTCAATGGAGAGGGCAAGAAACAGAACCTCTAAAACGGGTACATTTCCATCATGGAGGGTGAGGGCTGAGCAGAAAATCTTGTGACCTAAATGTGTCCGCATATCGAAAACGGTCAGGTCTGAAGGCTGGTGTCACACCTCTGGTTACTCACTGATCAGATTGTTTAATCAGGTTTTTTTTTTTACCCTTCTGTTCAGGCAGTTTTTGTACAGCTACTCATGTAAAGCACATTTGTAGGAAAATATATTTATAGGCACCAGTGTTAAAAGATTTGAAACAATCCCCAGCATTAAAGAGGGTTATTGTGCCCAATTCAGATTCATGATATTGCTGCATTCTCATTCATTTCAATGAGACACAGAAAAGTCAACCCCTGGCTCAACTGTTGCCAAAGCGCAGTCTGACATCGTCTGGCAGTGAAATATATTGGTCGATCAATCTTCAAATGGAACTTCTGGGTTCGGTTCAACACGTCCACTGCTGCACTGGAGCCTGAGCCTGTGCTGACCTATCTGATCAGACTGCTGCACTCCACACACAACGTACATTTACTATTAGGGTTCATTAAACCCAAAACCTATAATCACAGATTATGTGAGTCAATTTTCAACATAAGGGATTTTATTCAGGGTTGATACAGATATTGATTATTATTAATCAAGGAAACCAATAACCGATATTTGGAACATTTGCAGTCAAAATGAAGTGTAATTAAGTACATTAACTCAAGTACTGTACAATTTTGAGTAACTTGTACTTGAGCGTTTCCATTTTGTGCTACTTTACACTCCTACTGCACGCCATTTTGGAGGCAAAAATTGTAACTTTCAACTCACAGGAAACTACAATGATTGGTCAAATTTGCAGAAAGGTTGCAGTGACTGGACAGAATTGCAAGGTTGCCCAGAATTCACAGCAATTGGTTGAATTACTGTTAGTTGAGGGACAGTAAAGTGGCAGCTACAGACTGAGAGGGGGGGCTGCATCAGAGCCAAAGCAGCTGCATTTTTAATTTAATTCATTAAATTGGCCGCCAGATACAAATATAACAATACTGATGCTGACTATCGG